ATCACCTTTCTTCCCCATACTGATGCTCGGTTCGAACTGCAGGAGATTGTCTTGACCATGTCTACATGCCTAAATGCACTGAGTTGCCGCCATGTGATTGGCTGCTTAAAAATTAAGTGTTAACGAGCAGTTGGAAAGGTGTACCTAATAAAGTGGCCGGTGAGTGTATATGTATATATATATATATATATATATATATAATTTATTATATTAGCCCTGTTATTTGAGTCTTTTTACTGTTTTAAGATTCACAACAAGGGATTATTTACAAAAAACAAATAATCATCTCTAAAAAAGAACTGACCCATGTAGACCAATAGATAGTAATTAACTGAATGGTTAAATACGACTACTTCACTTATCAGTTGTTCATCATGCTTGTTCAAAAAATAATAATAGTAATTAATTAACTGCTCTAGTATTTATTAAACCCGCTTCTCTGATTGGGAATGTGTTGTATGATCTGTTTTCAGAGTTTCACACAGCAAAATCATTGCTGCTAAAGTTTGCTAACTAGCTGTTAGCTTCAGTTTCTCTGACCTCAGGATTTATACCTGACAAAGATGGCAGAAAAAGTTAGCTACCGGAAATATTATCTGATATCAGATAAAAAATTGTTTTTAACTCCAAACATTCAAAATTGTAATTTAAACTTTTTATGCCAAAATAGTTTTATAGATAATGGCCAGGGTAATCCACAGGTTAGAGCTGTGCGATCTGAATTATGCATACACCAGATTGTTCTTCTGAACTCTTTAGAGGTGAATCATGAATTATTAAAAACAACAATGATCTTTTGAAAACACACATGATCTGTTCTAATGGGAAGGCAAATGCAGCAATCATGAGCTGCTTAAGAGACTTTTCAACAAATTTAAGTCCAGTTACAATAAAGAAGCAGCTTGGTAGTCAAATATGCCATGATTTCACAAAATAATATGTTTCCATATGTTTCTTTATGTTTTCATAAAGAAAAAGTTTATTCTGTTTTGTGTGTAGGCCTATTTGTAATTTGGGTTAATGACAAAACAGAACCAGAAATAATTGGGTGACATCAATAAAGGGAGTAACATTTTAACATATTTCTATAATCTAAGGTTTTTGAGTTACATTTTTGAGCAGTGAAAACCCTTGTTGTGGATGCTGAAAAATGAAAGAACAACTCGTCTAATTTGTCACAATTTTACAGAAATTACACATTTCTGTGGGGGGTGGGGGGGGCTGTAGACAACAAAGCTGTTACCAACATTGTCAAAGCCTCTTCATTTCATCCAAAGTGTGACAGTAATTTATTTACATTTTTTTCACAATTTTTTAATCTTGGTGATCATTATGGGCCAAAACAAAATATGTTTTTAAGTTTGTGTTTTTTTTTGCAAACCTTCACCCATAGCTCTTGCTTGCCCCCCATGTTTTTTCATGTGTAGCTGTCTGTGTAGTAACAAATGTTCCTAGGAATGTCGTGCAGCAAAAGAAGCTGCGAACATGTCTAGAATAAAAGAGGCTTTAGTTTCTAAGATTTGAATCTCCAATCTTGCACCCTCTCCAAGATGTAAATGATCTAAGCTTTATCAAGACTTTTAAAGGACCTGGTTGTTGCTGTATAAAATATAACTTTTGACTGAATTGTATTTACAAAGCATGGTAAATGGCCTGTACTTATATAGCACTTTACATACTCTGATGGTGGCAAGTTACATTGTAGCCACAGCCCTGAGGCTCACCTGAACCAACAGCTCGCTGGTTACAGGGCAAACTCCTTCAGCTGAGGCCACTCTTTTTCCAACAGAGTACCCCTCTCTGAAATTATTCAAATTCTATTCTTCTGTCCGGAAAAGGACATTACTTGAACCAACTGTTGCATTTGGTGGTCATGCTAATATTATATAATACTGGTTTCAAACGTTTCATGTGAAAAAAGAAAATGTAATCCAAAGAGTGTTTCTTCTTCTTGTCTTATAGTCCTTAAAATATCAGAATTTGTGCATAACTTTAAATTTTGGTCCGTTTTAATAAAATAATTTAAAATATCAGATGTTATGATCAGTTGCTCCGTAACCTTTTAAACAAAAAACACTTTTACCTTTACTTGAGTTAAACTATCATAAATTAGTATTAATGGAGCCTAGGCAGAAGTTCAACTGAAGAAACTCATTGCTTTCCTACATCCACCTGTGACACAGCCAATCAACTGTGAACCACACCTCCTCGAAAGCCAATCAGTTCATCTTAAAGGGCCTCCAATACGCACTTATCTGCTCCTGTTCACCTTTTCAACCCACCTCCAGCCCCTCCTCCACCATCGTAGCTAAAGCTTCATCAGTGTCATTCCTCCCGGACTCTTACTGCGTTTCCTGTCACATCTTAACCGGTCCGGCAGAAGATCCCATGTTGTCCCTGGTTCAGCCAGAGGTTTCTTCCCAACGGGGAGTTTTTTCTCTCCACTGTTGCTTCATGCTTGCTCATCATGGACCGGTTCTCTCAGCCTGTGTTTTCTAAACTGGACTTCCATCGTCCAGGTCCCTGAGGGAAGCCCTAGTATCACGCAATCAACTGGATCTCCCCATAAAGCTCAGCATACCGTCTCGCTAACTAGCAGTCTACAGACTGACCAACTTCATCTATCTCCACTCCACCACTAGTTTCAGGCCTGGGAGAAAACAGCCATAATCTTTGCTCCTGTTCATGCATATCTATCAAAATTAAGCTCTATGTTTCCTGCCGAGGTCTGATCACCAAAGACAAAGTAACTGTATCATTAAATTTCTCCTAATTGCCTTTTCTCTTCGTGTGAGTTTTTCAGATTAAACTCTTATTTGCTTCGTTGAGTACCCACCTCTAGTGTTTAATAAAAGTGAGTTTAAATTAATTACCAGTAGTCTGGTAAATAACTTTAAATGACCAAATTTGGGTTCGTTTTTTTGGTATACTTCAATCATTAACGCCAAACTTGAACAGCTTATTAACTTTTTAGGGTGTGGTCCGGTATGTTTGAATGAATGAGCCCAACTGGGGTTAAGGTCCACTCTGTATTTGTTTTTCTTCATACTAATTTGTCCCTTGTGCGCCTCCGTAGTCCCTTCCAGGAGCAGAAAACACTTGAGGAGTGCTGCATACGCAGCCAATCGTCATTGCATTTGGCTGGAAGTAGGAGGCTGGACTTGGGAGTCAAAACATGGCGAAATAACAAGTTTCGCAGGTAGAAGCTTCGCCGTACCTGGTACCTTTGGACCGCAGTTTCGACAGAACTGGACGCCAAAGGACACGATAGTTTAAGGAAAAGGAGAGCTCCAGTTAGTCTTAAACACACAGCCTGGCTGTGTTTCTCCCCCCTGGGTGGTTGGTAGTGCTAGGCGCGACTGTCAACACAGGAAAAATATGGAATGAGAAAGTTTATTCTGAGGAAAAAGACGATTTAGCTTGTTAGCTCGGCGTCGTTAGCCACGGATTGATTACAGACACCTGAGTCGTTACTCTGATTACTTTGCTGGGAAAAAAAAGTGGGATTATATTTTTCCTGAGTCTTCGTATAAAGTTTGGCAAGCAGAGACGGCGGGAGCTGATTTTTATTTTATTATTATTTTTTTATTTTATTTGTGCCGCTTTGATTTAACTGCAGTATCCCTTCCCTGTAGGGATCTAGTGTTAGTTTGACGTTCGGTTCTGGTGCGGACGGACCCGGACGCCATCACATCACAGACGTTGCGTTCTTTTAATAAAAAAAAAAAATACTGCGTTGAATACCAGTAAATTTGTAGGCGGAATTATTAGTGTTTCTCTATTACATCTGGTAGGTTTTTTTTTCCTTCTTGGATTTTTAGATCATATATTTTTTTTATTATTATTACAAGCTGGGATGATTTGCAGCAGCAGGAGAGACGCGGCGTCTTGTGAACATGAACGCATCAAGGTGGAGGTGCGTTTAGAGGCAACCAGCTGTTAGCTCGGAGCTGGGACGCTCTGTTCTGCTGTCGAAGCTTATTTTAGACTCCTCGGATTTTTATTTTTTATTCTTTCCAGTAGCTGACATTTTTTTTTGTAAACCAACTGCTGTTAACGTTACAGCTCTTGGCGTGAAGCTAGCCTGCTGGGTGCGTCTCCGGCAGCTCCTGCGATGGATTTCCGACACTAAAGTGTTAATTCATATCTTGAATCAGCTGTGCTTTAATGACCTCGATAGACTAGCCCCAGAGGCAGCCACTTATTTTATTCTCATCGTCAAAGTTGTTTTATTTTTACTAATAAGTGGCTAACTTGTTAGCTAACGTCATAAGTTTGGCCAGCTATGTCTGAAAACGCCCCCACGCGAAGCCTGGACGACATAGACCTGGCAGCTCTGAGGGTGAGTATTAGCTCCATGATTATTGAAGGTGGTTTAATCGTGTTAGTTATGTCATTATAGGAGTTTTCCTCTGAGCACAATCATGTTTACACCCACGCAGCAAAGTTGAGGTGAAAAGCAGCAGAAAGCCTTCCTGGGCAGCTGTGTTGTTTATAGATGTCCTCTGATTCTCCACCTGAATAACAACATCACAGCACCACTTTTATTTTAAACAGCAGTTTTTAATTGGCTTTTGAGAGGAATTTTAATTTTTTGTTGCAAAATTACAACCATATTATTTTGTGGACATTAAAAGCTGTTATAATCAGCTGCACCCTGATACTTTGGAAGTTTTCAGTCTTATTTCTTTTTTAATAAAGATTTGTAAATCAAAGGGAAATAAAACTTTGCATCAACTTTTTGGAAATTCACTCCCCACCCCAGTAACCAGCATGTTTTAAAAATTAACTCCTTCAAATCTGAAAAATACCTCCTATAAAGTGTAAAAGTTATACATTTATTTGTTAACTAAGTAACCAAATTCAGCATTATCATAAATGTGTGCGTTTTGCAATTTCTCTTGAAAATTTGTAATTTATTCAGTTTAGTATGCCTTAAGCATGACGCTACCTCCACCATGCTTGGCAGTGGCTATAGTGTTCTGAGGTTTGAAAGTTTTATCTGGACTACAATCCAAACAACAATGTTGTCAGATTTGTCAATCTTTTCCTTTTCTGATTATTAATCCTCTCTTCAGAAGCTGCCAACTTTAGTCCAGACCACAGGGGTTTATTCTGGACTAGTAGCTTGTTTCTAGCTTATTTCATTCTATGTTTGTGTATTACTGGCTTCCCTTTGGACTGTCATGTTTCCAGTCAACGAATGCTTGAGTCTGGATTCATTTTGATAACCGTTTTTTTTTAAATGGATGGTTTGAACCTTGGATGCAGTTTTTTTGACAGTGGTCCCACACATATTGATGAGATGAAACTTTTGGAAAAATACTCATGAAATACACGATTCCCGGTTCAGGGTCTTTCTGCATGGAGTTATCATATTCTCCCTGAGCATGAATGGGTTCTCTTCGGGTACTCCAGTTTCCTCTCACAGTCCAAAAACATGACTGTTAGGTTAATTGGCCTCTCTAAATTCTCCTTAGGTATGAGTGTGTGTGTGTGTGTGTGTGTGTGTGTGTGTGTGTGTGTGTGTGTGAATGAATGGTTGTTTGTCCCTGCGATGGACTGGCGACCTGTCCAGGGTGTACCCTGCCTTTCGCCCGTAGACAGCTGGAGATAGGCATCAGCACCCTCGCAACCCCTCTCGGGATAAAGGGTGTCAGAAAATGGATGGACAACCTCATGAAATATGCTTAAAATCCAGGTTAATGTCTGGAAAAATAACCAATTTATACAAGGTTTTGCTAGATTGAGGTGCCTAAGCCTATTTCATCACCACCAAAACTATTTAGTTTCTTTATATTTTGAAAAGAGGTTTTTCTTTTTTTGTATGTAAAATCATTCTAGTGGCAGATGTTGCCGTATTGGCCTTAAGGAGACCATAACCTAGCCCATTTTAAAGACATTAGTCAAACTGTAGATAATTACTATACATTTGATTTTCAGATCCATGTTTTTTACTTTTTTAGTATAGAATAATATTTTATTTGTCCCATAGTACATTTTATCAACATCAAAGTGTCAGACAAATGAGAGTACATTAAAGATAAGCCTTTCCCTTTTTGGCTGTGCATTTTACAACTGGGTTTTTGGATGTTATTTTTTTTGGTAGCAATGCTGAGGTATAGGGATTACCTCGCAGCTGTTTGCTATTCTAAACTACAGTAAGAACTGCATCCTTTCTGTTTCCTTCCCTTTTTGTTAAAACGTTTTATCACCAAACTGTATTTGGCCAAAAGCACCCAACAGATACAAGTGTGAAAGTGTTCTTGTGATTTTGCAAAGTCACCATTTTAAAAGTGCCATTTAGAAGTTGAATCAAACATCAAAGTAGGTGGCATTCATCATCATCATCATCTAGCATTCTTCTGTGCGGCTGTAATCCTGGCCGCACGGCAACGTCTCTCAGGCATTGCCGTCACCTGCTGAATGATAGAATGCCATACAATCACCTCTAGCTACGGACGGTGTTAACTTCAAACATGCAAACTTCTACTTTCTGTTTGCTAACATGAAAAGTTAACGGACATCAAATATAGAAAATGACAACTCAGTGGCACAAAAAAAATACAATAAAAAGATCTTGTGATTTCCAGGCAGCATTAAGGGTTATATTTTGAGAAGGACATTTTAATTGGAAACACACCTGAAGCCTAAACCTTGAAATTATTGTTGGCAAATAAAATATTTTCAAAACTAATATTTTTATTAAACATTCTGATAAATGGGGACAAATATCGGTTTTGAATATTCTAAATTCATTAAGTTATTTGGATAATTATGATTCATTAGACATTTCCCCTAGATTTTCTGTTCACTATATGTGAATTTTGATAAAAAAATATTTTTTAAGAACAAATGTATCACACTGATGTAGAGGTTGCATGTATCCAATAGGAAACACTTGGTGTTCATGGGGTAAGAAATTAATTTTATTAATTTTGATGCTGAAATAGATGTTGTAGTTTCAAGCAGAGTTTTCAAAGATTCTATAACGTTTGTAAATAAGAAAACCACAAAGATGCTTTTGAAGTTGTTTTCCCATTTTAATATTCAAATGTGTGTGGTGGTGTTTGGCTTCACTAAGTATCTACAGATTGAAAGACTGACTTGGTTTTCTGCTCTCCATATTTTGGTCCTCATCCTTGATTTGTTTTATTCACTGAAGCATGCTAGCATTAGCCCACCTCGCTATCCCCTCCACCGTCTCTTTCCCAACAATTAGAGATTCACCTGATGGTCATAAGTGATGCTGCTTGTGTAACTTTTTAGCTATTGTGTTAGGGAGCAGGAAGCTAACGTTACTAACCATGCATTCACATGAACGTACATACACAAAGTATAATTCTCCCACCTATCCTTATTAGAAGTGGTATGAATATGGATCCAGATTCCACTAAATTGATTACACATGACTAGGGCTGAAAGAATTAATCTAATCTAATTAATCGATTATTGAAATGGTCAACTAATTTAGTAATTGATAAATTGTTAACTGAGTATAGAGATTCTAAAATATGCTTTTACCTGACAGAGCGATCAACCTAGAGCAGTAATAATATCCATCCAATTTATGATGCACTTTATCCCGAGTGGGGGGTCTCCAGCTGTCTAAAGCACAGTACACCCTGGACAGGTTGCCAGTTGCAACACAAACAACCATTCACACTCACACCTAAGGAGAATTTGTGGGAGGAAGCCAGAGTACCTGGAGAGAACCCACACATGCTCAAGGAGAACATAACTCCATGCAGAAAGACCCTGGGCCGGGAATCCAACCCGCAACCTTCTTGCTGCAAGGCAGTAGTGCTACCAACTGTGCCACTGAACAGCTCCAGTAAAAATATCAAAATTGTAAAAAAAAAAAAAAAAAATTCATCCATTAATCTCTCTATCCAGAACACAAGTGGAAAAGTTTTAGTTTCACCTATTTTATTGTCATACAAAAATCTTCTTTAAGGAACATTTTGCTATCTGATTATTAATCAAAAAAATTCTCTGCGGATAAATCGATTTGCAAAATAATGGTTAGTTGCAGCCCTACAAATGATATTAGACTAATTTAGGACTGTTTGTATAAAATACTAGTTTATGACCCCTTAAAAGCCATTTTTTATTATTTTAAGCATGTAGCTGTATCGTAAAAGAAAATTATTTCTTAGGCTGCGTTCACACAGCCAATTCTGACCCTAATCCTTGAGCCACTGCCATGTGTGGTACTACATTGCAGACCTAGCCGACAGTTTATAAAGTGTATCAAATACCGCATTTCCGCATTTGAAGCTTGTGATGGTTACATTGATAACTTTGATCAATAGTGCACCGCTGTGTGACATCTTTATTAATTAGAATAAACAACTATCTCAAAATGATCAGATTTCAGAAAAAGATCAGGAATGAGCATCAAGAGCTACTGAGTGAACATAGACCTTTTTTTTCTTCTTTTGATGTCAAAATATTTTTGTAAGATTAACTTTTATTGTTTGTGTTCATGAAAGATTTTCCTTGCAGGAACTTTGATATCCATAGCCCGAGGAAGTTCACTAGTCTTTCAAAGACACTCTACTTTACAGTGTAGGACAGTTTAACGCTGTATGTAGTATGTACAGGTCATTATGCCTTCTGCATTTATTTATTTATTTAGCATAATCAACCAAGAAGAATAAGTATGTATCTGTTGTCTGCCCTGCTATGCTGATTTCTCTCCCTGTGATCGTATATTTGTGGTTCGCTTTGTCTATTTTCCGAGCTGATTTGCTGATGCTTGAATATAACTGTACCCTTCCCCTTCTTTCAACTCCTTCATCTCATCCCACTCTCCGTGCTGGATGTGGGTGAAGCTACCTCCTCTGCCTCACCGCCCACTCTATCATTACATTATTTCTCTCCATACCATCATTCCTCTCGTTTTACGTCACATTTCCTCCTCTGTTGTGTCCCTTTTCATAAGCGAGATTAAAAATCTGTATAGTGTCTTTAACATTAGATCTGATTTTACATCTATTGCATTATATATTTTCCTTACCAAACTCTGATTTGTTGTTTTGTTTTCTGCGTTTGCTCCCTTTCATAAAGTAAAAACCTCTGTTTAGATGGTAGAAGCCCCATGACTGGAGATGGATGAAAGCAGGATGGGTCATGGTGTAGATTTGATACCCAAGGCAGCAGTCTTACCACCCACTCATCTTCTTAAAGCCATATTGAAATTGCATGAAAGTGGAACTGCTTGTCATTTTTCGCTTATCTCTGGGGAGGGGGGGGTTGCATAATTTTGTCAAAGCAATCTACTCATTATTAGTGTCAGTGAAATCTCTGTGCACAATGCAGGAATTTTAAAATGATTGAATCCTAAAAAGAAGCAAGTTAGTAAAAGTTTTTAAAGGTTTCATCTATCAGTGTATCATCTGTCGTACTGTAATACATTCTGTAATCCATTCTGATTGTCTTTTCTTTATGTTGCTCTGGTTATAATCCCCTATCAAGTCTTATGGGTTGGCATTTGATGTTCTTTTTATACAAGGATGTTTGATTATCATTGGCTTTAATGCACAGAGCAGAAATCATCCCAGTAACCTTCCTTTTAAAGTTTATGGTAAAGGTTTATGCTGTTAAAAGATCTCATGTTTATGTGACAGAGCTATAGCTCACATTGGTATGTAGATTTAAAAAAATCCATAAAATGTTCTTAATGTTAGGCCTTTTTCTGTTTTTAGACCTGTGCTTAGGCTTATTTTATTAAGGCTTTATGAATATCAAAGCAGATTCTTGTAAGAGACTGACTTTTATTTACTGATATTCAAAATTATCGAGAGATTTTTCCACAGAGAAATCAGACTCTTGATTATATCAGGACGGTATATGCTGGATACTTATTAACTCATGGATTTATAGAAAAGTATATTTTCAGCTTCTCATACGTTTTTATCACTGCTTTGTTAAAACAATGCCTATGTGACATTTGGGACAAGGCTTTGATAGTTTTTTTTTTGGGACGGAAATCTGGGACGATACTGATATCGACTATTAATATTGCTTGTTTCCACCAGTAAATGATATTAACAGATACCATTTATTTTCCTACACTTTGACACCAGGAAAGACTAAACACAGTGCAGACATCGCCTCTCTGCTTTAAAGACCCACAATCACAAGCTTACAATATCACGGTCACAAGCTGGTGAAGATTTTCACTCATCCAGGTCATAGTCATTCCAAAAAGTTAAACTACTGGACTTTGTTTTCCAAGTTTGGAAGTTCCAGGTTTTATAGAGTATCCCAACAAAGCCTTGTTATGGCTTAGAAAACAGGCAAATTGAAGGAAGCCATTTATATTAAGAGAGAAAAAACAATCTTAAACAGAGGGTTTAGACTCAGGTTCCAGCAATGGAGTTGATTCCTTCCCACTATCATAATAAGCCATCTTGCCTGGTCAGCCAGGCCAACAATGACCATAACGACTAGGGGTGGGTATTGGCAAAGAAGTCACGATTCGATTTGAATCATGATTCACATGCCACGATGCGATTCTATCACGATGCATCACGATACTTGAAATATTGCGATGTATTGGGATATTTTCACTGAACACTGTAAGAAAAAGATACAGCCCTTACCAGTGGCTGACTGGCTG